GGCCTTGGGGCGGGGCAGCAGGGGAAAAGATGGGACTGCGGGGCTCCGGCCGGGTCGGGACTGCTGCTTGTGACCCCGAGCTGCCGTGGTGGTTCTTTCCAGTCCCGCAGCGCGGGTTGGGCCGGGCTGCACGGCTCTGTGCAGCCTGGGAACAGCAGTCAGTTGCAGGAAAGTTAGAGGATCCGGGAGCGCACCACGGGCGCCTTGGGGCGGGGCAGCAGGGGAAAAGATGGGACTGCGGGGCTCCGGCCGGGTCGGGACTGCTGCTTGTGACCCCGAGCTGCCGTGGTGGTTCTTTCCAGTCCCGCAGCGCGGGTTGGGCCGGGCTGCACGGCTCTGTGCAGCCTGGGAACAGCAGTCAGTTGCAGGAAAGTTAGAGGATCCGGGAGCGCACCACGGGCACCCGGGCGCGGGCGGCGTCCGGAGTCGGCTGGCCGCAGCAGCACGCGTGGGCCTGGGTTTCCCTCGGAGCGCAAGATCTACCTGCGCCACCTTCCAGCGTCGCCACCTTCCTGGAACCGCCGCGGAAGGAATTTCTCTTTCCTCGTCCCACGCCGCCGCGCATTTTCTAGAGCCCCTAGTATTTTCCCACCTCACCCCAGCCCCTTTTGTTTTTGTTATGTTTGTTCGGACATTTGAGACAGTCTCAGTTTGTAACCCAGTCTCGCTTGACTTGTAATCCAGGCTCACCCGGCTATCCTCAAAATATGTGAGGATGTGCCTTGTGGGCTGGTTTTACAGGCCTGAGCCACCATGCCTGGCCTTATCGTTCTAAGTTGTTCGGATTTTACTGTCTATAAGAGATAGAGCTATTACTCATCTTTTAAAATTAAAAATGAAGCACTTATGCAAATTTGAATTACTATTAAAACACACTTTCCCTATACAAGGAAAAGAAGTTATTAAGAAAAGAAAATAGAAGCTGGACAGATGGCTCAGCGGTTAAGAGCACTGGCTGCTCTTGCAGAGGACCTGGGTTCTATTCCCAGCACCCACAAAGTAGCTAACCACCGTCAGTAACTCCAGTTCCAGGTGGGGGAAGCCAACGCCGTCTCTGAGCTCCATAGACATTGCACGACTCGGGTGTACTTACATGCAGGTAACACACTCATGCACTTAAAATAATAAAATATTCTAAAGAAAGCAAAATAGGGGCTGGGGATATGGCACAGAGATTAAGAGCACTGGCTGGTCTTGCAGAAGACCTGGGTTCGATTCCCAGCCCCCACATGGCTAACAACCGTCTGCAACTCCATTTCCAGGGGATCCAGTGCCCTCTCTGTCCTCCATGGCATTGCAGGGCACCTGTGCATACATGCAGGTAGTACACTCATACACATAAAATAAAAATAAAATATTTTTAAAAACCAATAAACCGAGCTGGTCATGGTGGCACAGACCTTTAAAAACTATCAACAAACAATTTTTTAAAAGAAAATAAAATGAGGGGTTGGTGAGATGGCTCACAAGTGATGACACTTGTTGCCCAGACAGACTCGAGTTTTATCCCTGGGTCCCCCATGATTAAAGGAGCGACACACACACACACACACACACACACACACACACACACACAAGTTGTCCTCTGACCATATGTGCTGGTATGTGGGCACACACACACACACACGTGCACACACACTAAGAAAGTTTTTTCGAAAAAAAATCTAAATAATTGGCTAATTATTTAGCCTACTGGAATATGGCAAAGCACTTACACAAGAATGACTCTTCCATATTTGTTAGTAGGAATTTGATAGCCAGGGAATCTAGAAGGTTCTGAAAAGGAAACAAGTTTGAGGTATTCAAAGTGGGCCTGTAATTCCATGCTTGAAATTCCAGCTACTAAAGAGACTGATACAGGAAGACTGCAAGTTCAAGCCCAGTCTGGGCAATTTAGAAAGACTCTGTCTCAAAAAGTCTTTTAAAAGGGCTGGGATGTAGCTCTGTGGTAGAGTGCTTGCCCAGCATGAGAGACCCTGGGTTCAATCCTCAGGACCACAGAAAAAGGTGGGCAGGGGTCAGATTATTGAGAATATTCAGATATTCAAGTTCTTTTGATGAAAAAGCTACTTTTCAGTAAGAATATTCGGTATTAGTATTCATAAAACAGTAAAAATGTTAAAAAAAATAAAGCAGGGAAGTAAAAAAGAGGAAGAAAAACCAAGAAAGGAAGTAATTCACAGCAATCACAGGACTTTATTTCCAGATTGTCAAGAGGTGAATCTCACTAGATGAAAGGAGATTTCAAAATGAATCACAGCCAGATCCCGGCTGGGGTAAGAAGGGAGAGTGGAGAAAGACGAATCCCTAGGGTTCACTGGCCAGACAGTCTAGCCCGATTGGCTCAGTGAGAGATCCTGTCTTCAAAAACTAAGGTGGAGAAAGACAAGATGACACGGATATGGACCTCTGGCTTTTACCGGCACAAACGTGGAAGCACACATGCACACAGGACTGGCACACATGTACACCACACACAAAAATAGTTAAGCTGGGCATAGTAGCCCACACCTTCAATCCCAGCACTCCGAAGGCAGAAGCAGATAGATATCTGTGAGATCAAGGCCAGCTGAGTTTCATGTTAGCTGGGGCTACAGGGAGACCCTATTTCAAAAAACCAATAATAATAATAATTAGAAAAATGAAGATACTCATGTATTTTATCCACTGCCTTGACTTAATTTTAAATTTAACATAAGAAGTCTTTTGCAACCCAATAGAAGACGTTTTAATTTACAGATTTTGTGACTAAGGATTTTGTGAGTCTCTTTCTCTCTCTGTTCCGCACTTCGGTCTTGCAGCACCCTTTTGCTGCAGCTCTGTACGTATCTCTACATACTGTTCCCAATTCCTCTTCCTGCCTGATACCATAATCTTTTTTTCAGGCCACCATCATTTCAGATCTTACATAATCATAGCCACTTGTCCAGTTTCCCAGGCTGCAATATTCTGTCTGGTCCTCTTCTGATCCAGTCTCTACAATACAACAAATTTGTCTTCTATAAATATAAAACTTTGATTATCTCCTCTATTTAAAAACCCAATAATGGTTCTCCCCTACCCACAGTATAAAATCCAAACCCGTTAAGATGTCTTTTCCTGTACCCTTAAGTACTTGAAGATTGATTTTATGGGTTGACGCATTCTAGGCAAGCCCTCTACCACTGAACTACATTCCCAATCCTAAGTACCTTGTAAGATCCTTGATTTAACCGCCATTCCCAAAACTGGTTTTTCATGTTTGACTAGCATAATGGGAGTTTCTTTTGTCTTTCTACTAATTGATTTTTTAATGCCTTTTCACTGGTCATGTGGTTCCCCAGATCACCATGCTCTAAAGTCCACAAGCTGAGCTGCCAGCCAGCCTCACATTGTGCCTGTCTTTGGAGTTAGTGTCCTGTCCCCGCTCTGTGCCCGATCTCATGTCTACCCACTGCCTGCCTGCATTTCTTCTACTTTACATTCAAGTCATTCTGAAGGACTTTTGTGTTCCAGAACACACAATCTATGCTATTTACTACACTGGAGCATTGCCAGACTAAACCCAATTATTCCTTCAGAACAAAGCCTATTTGTCCTCAGCAATAATTTTCCCTAAACCCTCATGTGACAAATCCTGGGCATAACTTGGTGCCTTTCTATCTCTCACTTAGCACCCACTGTACAAATACCTCTTCTAACACACACTGCGCTATTTCCACCTAAATTCACTTATGAGTATTCTCCAGTAAGGCTGAGAGCACAGTAGACTTTTCTTGCATTCAGTAGCTCTCTCATTAGATAGTACCTACAGGGCCAGGGGGTGCAGCTCAGTGGTGGAGGGTTTTCCTACTTGCCTAGCACTTGTGAGCTCTAGGTTCCAGTCCTAGCCTGCTAAGTGAATAAATAGTGCCTAACATTAGTTTTGGCATTGAATAAAATGGAAGAAAGAATGAAGAGATGACAAGTCTTGATGCTGCACCTGCTGTCATTAAGCATAGTGGACATGACTGTCTCTGTGGCCCAAACTTATTCCATGTTTACATGTCTTAACTTTTTTATATTAATAATACAGCTTTTGCTGAAAGTGTTTAAAACACATTTTAAATTAGCGACAATTTATCTTGGGATTGGATACCATGTTCTATAGGTTAGCAAACTATTTGTATATTTAAAAAAGAAAAGCAATTTTCTCTCTACTTTTAATCATTCTTGTTTAAAATACTTAGTATAGGGAAGAATCCCTATAGTAAGGTAGTTATAACATGTATAGCTCACATATACAGGGATGATTCCCAGCAACAAAAGTAAACATGGCAAAGTGCGTTAAAGTACCACAGTTTTGGACTGGAGAGATGGTTCAGCGGTTAAGAGCACTGGCTGCTCTTGCAGAGGCCTGAGGTTTGATTCCCAGCACCCACATGACAGCTAACCACTGTCAGTAACTCAAGTTCCAGGGGATCTGATGCCCTTTTCTGACCACCGTAGTCATTTCATGACACTGGTACACTTACATACATGCAGGCAATACACTTATACACATAAAAATACATATAATAAACAAAATATTATTAAAAACAAAAAGTTTAAAATGCCACAGTCCACAGAA